TTCAATATCCCATCTTTTCCTCCAATAAGTATATTAGTATTTATATATTGTAGTCATATATATCAGTGTATCAAATGGTCAACTGCATTCTACAAGCATATTTTCAGCTTCCACAGGCTAATCATACAACTCACGCAATGTGCCTTAGTAGTTCATATTCTAATGGATAATTCGTCAACTGCGCACGCGTGGGAATTGAGACCTAAGCGACGATAACAACACACGCTAAAAACGCAAAGGCTCATGGGTAGATGCTTGTTTGTAAACAATGACACGCTATGGCCATCTGACGCATGCGCAAGTGACGACTCCCCGCTTTAACATACCCCGGTAATGCAATCAGAAATCACCTAATGAGATGAAGGCACTGTAAACATGGGTAAAATATTGTATTCAGTTACATACATATAATTGAATAGAAAATGAAAGGTAAATTTACATTTTAATTGACATATATCTTTTCTTCTTTTTTCATATTTCTAAACAATATTTCAAGTTCGGGTTTAATACTATTGTTGTTGAATTAATGTCACAACTATTTGATATCTCTCTCTCGAAAAAAAAATAATAAGTCACAAACACTCAACAAACCTGATAAAACAACCCAATTTTATTTTGTATTTTGTTTAACAGTGCATTTTGTCATATACGTTATAGAAAGTGTCAACGCACCATCGAAATCAGTAACGTGTGTATGTCCTTAAAGAGCTTTAAAGTTGTTGGTTTTCAGGTTTGTACAGAACAGATAGTCATGTGTTCCAACCGACTGCTATTTACGGATATCCGAAAAGGCCACCAGCAAACATAATTAACGGGAGCCTCCGTGCTTGCCTCTTTATATGGCGTGTCTTATTATGAATCTTTATTTCCAGAGTGTAACATTACTAATAAAATCGCAGGCAAGCGAAGTGCAGATGTTTTTCTTAAAATAATGGAGCATGACCTTGCCCTCTCCATTTTTTTTGAAAAATACATTATTCTATGGAAATACTTAACTATATACGCATCTAATCCATGAGAGAACCAATGTCTTTTCTATGCAATGTCAGTTTTAGTATTTTCTATGTTGTCTTATTAATGTTTTACTTTTATTTCGTTAGTTTCATCATTTTAGTATCTTGTTATTTGTTATGTTTACCATACTAAACCCTCTGATGGTTTTGGTTGTGTAATAAAGTTATTATTATGATGGAAACCTCTGACATTTGCGCATGCGCTTACAACAAACATGGTATGCGTGTTTGTCCAAGTATATCTGTGTGTCTCCTGTTTTCTCTCAAATCGTCTCTTCCTGTTGACGTGATTTTCTGGTTAACTGTATCCGATAGTGCTTTCATCCCCTCTCGTTTCAACCACTGTCCCTTGTCGCTTAAAAACAACGTTTGAAGTAATTCATATACTAATACACCTAGCCGGAAGGGCGAATGGTCAACTCGACGTCCCTAACGCCCATATATGAATTCGTTCCCGTAAAATGACAAAAATAGCTTATCTGTCTGGTGCATACACATATCTATAACGAGGTCAAAGGATGCTGTTACATTGTCATCGGCGAGAGGTGTGTCCTCCCTATTTAACAGTACTAAATATAGGGTCACCTTCAGAATTTATGAGTAAATAATATCTAGGGATATACGTAACAATTAGTAAAATTTAATTAGAAATATGCTACTGTTATTAAGTAAGTTCTTCTAGTAGTAGGTCGCTTTGCATGTCGTGCCCTGTGGTACTAACACTAGCTACAGTTCGTAGTTATTGATTTCTACTAGAATGGCCATCAAAATAGAAATCACGAAATTCTTATACTAGTATCTGATAGAATAGTACGAGGGTAAAAGAAACAACTGCGCATGCGCTGTTAAATAAACTAGGTCATGACATGAATGTCAACTTTTGTCGATGGTATTCCATGTTCCTTGCATCTAGTTGTGTTCAAATTACTTCTGGTTCACTAAAAAATCGTCTACGAATAAATAGTTCAATTGAGTTTACTGTCACACCCTTTCCTTTTACTTCAGATTGACTCATGATGGCGGATATTCATTAAATGAAAATCATACGAATCATTAAACAAATCTTTTTGACGCAGCGATGACGTAATGTTTATTTTTTTAAGACGCGGCTGTCCCGAGGTTCAATGACACAATGACTGAATATATCACGTGACATCACAACCAA